GAGGATCACTTGAGCCCAGGAGTTGAGGTTGCAGTGAGGTATGATGACACCACTGCACTCTAGCCCAGGTGACAGAGCAAGACCTTTCCTCAATCAATCAATAATAAAAAGACATATAACTAGTAGTTTTTGCTGGTCAGATTGTTTAAACAGCCTTTTTCTTTTCAAATTACACTTATATAACCCTTAACATTATTTATTCGTTCAACAAATACCTGTGGAACATCAATTCTGAGATATAGGCACTGTTGTATGTACTGAGGATACAGAAGTCAATACAACAGAAAAAATCTCTGCCCTCATGCGGCTTGCATTCTAGTTTGGGAAATAGGAAATAAAAATTTAACTAAATGTAGGTAAATTATATAATGGGTTAGAGACTGGAAGTATTAAGAAGAAAAATCAGAAACGAAGAGTGAGAATGCATGGGGTTCGTAGGGTTGTAACTCTAAATAAGACAGTCCAGTAAAGTGGTTAGAGTGGTCAAGGAAAGCCTCACTGCAAAAGTGATATCTGAGCAAAGACCTGAAAGAGGTGAGGAAGCAAAGCATACAAATATCTCAGGGTAGATATTCAGGTAGAGGTAAAAGCAGTGCAAAATCCACACAACAGAAGTATCCCTGGCATGTTCCAGAAACACTGAGGCCAGTGCAGCTGATGCAGAGAGATCCAGAAGAAAAGGAGGTAAAGTCAGAAAAGTAAGAGGGGTGGGGAGCACTGTCACAACGGTAGAGTAAGGACCTCTGAAAATCTGCTCCTCCATAAAAGCATTGACAATACTGGCAAAAATTGTCAACATCAATTTTTTCACAACTCTAGAAATAAACCAAAGCCTTGTCAAAATGCAAGGAGTATTGATTCGAGAAAAGTGGCTGAATCTCAGTAAGAACAATGAGCCCTATAGCATTTTAACTTGCCCTATTCCCATCCCCCTCATGCCAGCTCTGCAGTAGCTTTGAAAACCAGCGGTCTTGTGACTACAAGAGATGTGAAATCAGCAACTCACGTGCTACTGAAGAGGACAGAACAGGTTTGGGGTTCCCAAAAATCACCATCTCCAAAGAGCTGTCACTATATGACCTGTGTGGCAGATCCCAAAAAGCTCTATCCTCAGGGCTTGTCTTTCTTTGACCTGATTCAGAGCTCACTGTATACAAATAACCCCATCCTGAGAACATGTGTCAAAAAATAAAAAATCAGTGACAATTTTTTAACATCACAGCTTCCTGCGACTGTGATACCAATTGGGGCTAAAAGAGACTGACCAAAAACTTTAAAAACTTTAATACTGGGGAATGAAAATAAAAAACATGTTCCCTGGCCAGGCGCGGTGGCTCACTGTAATCCTAGCTCTTTGGGAGGCCGAGGCAGGCGGATTGTTTGAGCTCAGGAGTTTGAAACCAGCCTGAGCAAGAGAGAGAC